GGGGGGGGGGGGGGGAGAGGGGCAAAATTAGCGCGAGCGATAATTCGCCCGAGTGAAATTGTCGCGTCGGATCTGAGGGTTGTACACGTCGTTTACGGAAGGCACGTTGTTCGAATATATCAGGAAATCGATTTCTCTTACATATTCCTGAGCGGTAAGCGGGTGCAAGCACGATTTTTGTCTATTCTGACAACGTAGTCTTTCTTAAGGGGGTATTGTGAATCGGTCGCAAAAAAGGCATTCTTCTGACATTTCTTATAGGAAAACAGAAAAATCGAATAATGTCAAACTTTCTTTCTTTAACATGTTCATTTAACATAGCATATTCTTTTAATATTATTTTAATATTATTTTAATATTATTTTAATATTATTTTAATATTATTTTAAAGATATATTATAACTATATTTAAGCGACTATATACTATATTAAACAATAATAATAATAATAATAATAATTAAATATAACGCAACGCGAATCGAATATGCAAACAGCGTTCGACGTTAACCGGTTGTACAGTTCGCTATTCGTTGATGTATTAACCGCGTGCTTAAGCCCATAGAGGGATGTTAAATGCACGTCCTCATTACGCCGGTATGTTAACTATACACTTATCTTCTACATGACATATTAATGCCGTCCCTTCAGCATCGGTACTTGACATCATCCGCTAATTATATCCCTTTCGTTGAAATAATCGATAACCAAAATTAATCAATCGTAATATGTGTGATCACCTATAATTTAATCAACTAGTGAAATTAATTCATAATCAGTGTATAATCAGACACATCGAAGTTGAATAATAATTGATTTCATCAATCGATAAAGTCATTTGATTTTATACATGTATGACGATTGATTATACATATGTGACGATATATATATGATGATTGACTTGCTGATTATTTTAGCCAAAGAAGATTTTAATCGATCAATGCTTAATACTGCCGCTCGTAATTGCACAATTACCGCGTAGGAATCTATCAGTTCACGCGCGTTCAGTTCGATCCAGTCTTGAATGCTGCCTAAATTGGAAATAATCCTCTTTGAGCTAGACTATATAAACAATCTTCAATGATCTCGCGAATCGAGCGAATCTCGACCGATCGCGATATGTTTGCAACACGATTTATGATAAGCTTTCATCTTCTCTGCAAACGGAACAGCGGCGGAATAGTGAAGTAAGAGACGCAGGAATTGAACAATTTTCGGTGCAGTAAGCTTCGCTGATTGTATTCACGGTAAACACACGCCGAGTAATCCTAGATTAGCGAATCGCGAGCGTTGCGATCCTACCTTGTGTAGTACAAGCGGGGAGAATAATCTAATCCCAACCAACTAATCGGTATTAGCGCTAATCAACGCTGCTGCGAACGAATATAAGGATAGATGAGGAAAATATACATCGAAAAACTATTCGCAGCCTACTTTAGGATTTTCGCTCGGTTGTGACTAGCATTTGTTTTTAATCTACAATCAATCTCATCCTTCCCCTGATTCTCCCAATTCCATATTGCATTAAACAATGTTGGGCATTCGATTACAATTAATCGATTAAAAAATGCTTCCAAAATAATACGGCCAAAATAATCGACAAATCAATAAACAAAATTAATTAATAGTCATATATAAAATTACAAATAATTTCAGTGATTGACAACATTAATTATTCATCAAATTAATGTAAGATTGATTAGATACTGATTAATAAAATTGATTATATACTGATTAATAATTAATATCGGAGAAATTATTTGTGATTTTGTACATGACAATTAATTAATTTTGATGACTAAAATCCGTCGGTAAATTTAGTCTAAAAATTTTAATCGAACAATGCCCAACACTGGTATTGAATCGAGTCACGAGTAATCTCCAATAATAAATTACTTAGTGAAATTAAGAAAGATTAAATTTAGAGCTAAAATATCAAGATAATATCGAATAAGATATCAACGTTAGATTAATTTTGAAATCCTGTTCGTGTTAGAAGCGAAATTTCGAGTTGGGCAAACCGCTCATTAATTAAGCATCCCGTATAAATTATTAATATGATACTGAACACGTGTAGCAATTTGATTGATCAATATTACAAAATATTGCATACGAAATAGATTTGTGATAAGGAATAGAGCGAATAATTCGTGATTTAACTGAATAATTGTAACTCAGAACCATGTCTAGGAATTGAGTGAGTTTGTGGATGTGCGCGCATTTTCAAGCATTTAAATTCGAGCAAGCTGACCCAGATCGTCGAATAATAATTAACCCAAGGTAAAATCAACAGTTCCCCAAACATTTTCTCATAGAGAAATGTCAGGCAAGAACGCTGGGATCACGTTCTGAGCAATCGTTACTATTCTCGTTAGACCACTTCGCTGATCCTACACCCAACATAGTAAGTAAGGCCTAAAGCACGATGCCGTTCAAATATAGAACACGCGGCTTCCCATAGAGAAGTTTGTACACTAAACTGAGGGGATAACACCTAACTTTGCGATTTCAGGTTAAAATATATCTGTTCCGTGCGGCACAATTAGAGAGTAGCCCGCGGTTGCTCGTACGCGCAGAAAGTTAAAATTAATTTAAACTTATTGCCCAGGCAGTCGGCAACTTTTTATCAGAGACAGGGTTAACTCAAAATCATGAGTCTGTGAATTGCGTGACGCGCCGTCACGTTTACTACTATGATTTATGTATTTTTCGATGATTTCTGTAACTTCCTAAGCACGATTGAAGTGGATAAACTGATGTTTCTAATTAGGTCACCACACACACACACACACATTCTGAAGCCTCAGATTTCACCGAGAACAGATAGAATCGCGTCTAAACATCTTGCGTCCAGGACGATGGAAACATGAGACAGAAATCGGATGCGTTTACTCCGTGGCGTATATAGAGAGTTAACGTACACGTAATACGTACTTTTAAGCATACACGCATACACCCAAGTTGACGCATTAAATTTCCTGCCCGTCTCATATTGCTATCCTTCCTCTTCCTTCCTTTCTTCCTTCCTTCCTTTCTTCTTTCCTTCCTTCCTTCCTTCTTTCCTCCCTTCCTTCCTTCCTGTTTGCTTGTCTGCCTCTTCCACAGGTCATGGGTCATTCGCTGGTGCATCCACCTCGACGACGTGAAAGCGTCGTGAATGGCGTCGCGCGGAGTGTATCTCATTACGCGCGCGAGCGAACCAATCCACTAGCGAAGTAAACCGCGCACGTTACGACTTTCAGGTTTTTACTCCTGGCGCAACCCAGACTCAGGCTCATGGTTCATACAGGCGCTTTGCGAGGAGCTGGATCTTCACGGGCGCAGCCGCGACTTACTCAGCCTGATGACCTTCGTAAACCGGCGCGTCGCCATTGAGTATCAATCGTATGTGCCGGAGAACATCAAGTTCCACACGAAGAAACAAATCCCGTCGGTCGTCTCGATGTTAACGCGCCTCGTGTACTTCCGCGACAGGCGCGCGCTGTACGATGCAGACGACGACAAATCGGAAACGGAAGTTGTCAAGCTCGCAAGGGAGTAACCCTTGAACGCGGGGAACGACGTCCTCATTCCCGACTAAGCCTACGGGAATGGATTCCCCGTCGGGACGCTTCTCGTTCGGAAAACGATCAACGCGATCGACTCGCGAAATTCGCTTAGACAGTCTCGGTTGAATACCGAGAGTAGCGGAGCTGAAGGGAACAACGTGTGAAAAAGTAAATAATACAAAAAATGTGGGTTATTTATTTAGGTGAGTGCAGACAATCATTTTTCGTTTGTTTCTATTTATTTTTATAGAGAAATAATATTTTGTCACGCTTTATATATATATATATATATATACATATTAAAGTATTGCCTATTAAAACAACATCTAAGAGAAAATTGCAAAATTTTAGCGCGATTATAAAGAGAAAACTTACTATTGGGTTTCCTATTGAGATTGCGTGTTTGTATATATGTGTATGAGGGATGACATCGCGAGATTTAATTACGCTCAATATCTTCTTGTGAACGAGAAATGTAATGTGTATTACCAGGTTGTTCAGTTTATCCTAGCTGATATCGTCAAACTATAATGCACGCGGCGCGAAACTGAACGAAACAGCGAATTACGCGTTTTAACGCGAGCAGATTGCAAAATTATTTAATACCTGAATTACGCTTATATCCGCTGTCCATTCGTTTGCACAAATGAGTTTATAAATAAATTATGAAATACCAGTCTACGCTTGATAATGTCACGCGAAGTAAAATAAATCGCTAGTAACGCATTCAGCAGCATACTACGAATTATTATATTATAATTGAACTCAGTATATTATTCTTAATTAGCTTGCTAATTATGTGCAGACCTTCACAGCTTTTATAGAGCGCTATAAAAGCTGTTATCATAATAGCGAAGAATAATAATGATCGACGTTTCTCGCGGTTTCACTATTTAGATTCATCCCGATGAAGTAACTATCATGGAGAATAAAGTGGAACCAATTGGTTTGTGGGAAATGGGGAAATATTTCACTTCGACTAGTACGATGTTAATTTTTCCTCGGTAAAAATTTAATTAATTCCTCTTAGGTCTGGTTGCACCAACATTATTTTGGCTTTAAGCGAAACTTAAACATATATCTATCTTTATCTTTCTTTCTATATAAACAAAGATAGACATATATTTAAGTGTCACTTAAAACCAAAATAACGTTGGTGCAACCGGGCTTAACTCTCCCTGCGTAATGTATGATGATTTTGTATTATATAAAATTTTGTATTAAATGATTTTATATTATATGAAATTTAATATTATATATGTAGAAATGTAATAAATAATATTGAGATTTAGCAGAGTCTAACCGTCGATCGATTAGTCATGTTGGTAAACGAAAAGTTTTCAGCATACCAACATTATGTTTTCATAACGTCTCACGCGTCGCTCAGCTAACTCGGATCCTCGCATCTACGTATAAGAATGCGTCAACAATACAAAAACTGTCTAAATCATTGTATACGGTTGGAAGCTTTTGTTTGAGACGACTAACAGTATATACCGGATAATACATAAATTTGTAAGACCGTTATCCAGGAGCGATCTTGTTCGTTTGTTCGTTCGTTCGTTCTGAATGACATCAAATAAATAATTAGAGAGAAACTGTTGCTTTGTTCTTCCTGATCCTACATATATCGCTTTTCAACAAAAATCTTATTGCAAACGTATACATATCAGGTCCAGGCTGCTCGGCTCTTTGTGAGTCTTTCTCTCCGCTGCAAGAAGACGCATAACACACCACCAAAAATGTACCGACCATTACGGACACGTGACGGTACTCGGAATCCCGAGTGCTTATTCGCGAGAAATCGGTGGGAATTGATCCTGCTCCTAAATACCGTTGGTGAACCGACGCGGAAGGCCCCGGGCTCCATTAAACGTGATGCGTGCGATTACGCTGACGTATTCAATGCCAGATTAGATACCTGCGGTCAAAGGAGCTAGACGCGGATGCTATTAACCTTTGTCTTAGAAGACGCGAAGTGGAACCCAGAATTATGCCGTTAACTAGATGCTATCGCGAATTGCGATCTCCTTCGTGCCAGGCTGAATTGATCTGCAACGACGATACGGACAACCGGTGCTCGCGGAACAGAGAGAGAGAGAAATCGGCGCCGCTTAATCGCGTTGTTACACGTATTACGTGGCACAACGAGGCGAGGCGCGGCGTAGCGCGACCTACCATAGCGTGATCTCGCGCAGTAGGTGGGCACAGATAGTTACAGTAGCCTTCCGCATACTCCACATTTCGCGCGGAACAAATAAAAAATGGAAAAATGATAACGGCGAAATGACGAGTGTAAATAACGTGCCGTACGTGCTTGCGTGCTAGTGGCGCGCGAGCGGTACATATTTATTTACGGGCGCGAAGATATTTACAATTTTCTGAATTCCATTTCTGGTCAAATGTCCGCGCGATATATCGAGTCATTTGTAGCGAATGCGTGGAGAGATCGAGATTTGAAAAATATTGCTCAAATTGACGCGTCCCCCACTCACGCCAGCCACTGCACCGCGTTGAAAATCGATGTTTATTATTATTTGCGCGCGCCTCAGTGTAATTCATGACGTTTCAATATGTCGACTATAAATAATGCGGAAAGTCGTTAAAAATGATTTGATTTTGAATTTCTCTCTTCGTTTTTCCATTTCTTTCCGCTTTTTCCATTTCGACGAACATATTCACGACGCGTGCGAGGGGCTGACACCGCGTTATGGATTAACGTTACGCGACGAGAGGATAGAGATTAACGCAAAACGGGAAAAGAAGAAAATTATATTCGCCGACGCGACAGAAATAAAGTTCCATAGGCGAGAAAAAATTGCAAAATAACCGCGCGGCAGCAACATTATAAAAGATTGCGCGATATAAAACGGGTGAATAATGACAACTCGCGGGAATCAGAGGCATTTTCAACAAAGGGTTACAATGCATAACCTATTCTATTCGCTTTTTCCCGCCTGCGCATATTTTCAATGGTCCATTATACGTTTTGCATCTCGCCTGAGCTATTACACGCTTTTAATTATTATCGCGCTACGACAACCGGCATGATACATTTAGGTACGAGAGCATTATGAGATAAATCAAGCTATTTGCGAAATCCGCGCGAGATCATTTCGATTTCCCGAATGCGTCGAGAGACTGAAACTATTATATTCGCGCGACTGCTCATCCCATACATGGTTAAAGCACTTTTTACAAATCGGTAAGAAGCATCGAGTTATGCGCGATTTGAAATAATTCGTCATAAAATTATCCTCTCTTACGAATGACGTTAAAAACGTTTTACGTACAACAGACACCGACGCATTCACCGTCCAGGGGCTCTTGCATTCAACAAATCCGAAAAATATTTTGACGTATTTCTCCAGGGGGGGTTACGATCCGTCGCGTATTCAGGAATTATTGCTCGCAATTTCGAGCTCTCGATCCGGGCATATTTCTCACGTATGAGTGTAAGAATCGCGAAGCGAAGCGCAGCCGGTAAGAAGACCGCTCAATCACCGACGCGAAGAAAGAGTTCAGCTGTCGGAGGGATTCCTCAAGCCGTTTTGACTTTCTGGCTAGCGATTCGAACGAATTGGCGAATTGACCCTATCTCCTCGCGCCGTTGCTAAGTGGGTTCTTCAAGAACGAGCGCTCGAAACTACGCGATGGCTTGTCTCAAACGCGATCAAAGGATTTTGGTTTGGCCGCCTCTCGTCCCTTTATCGAGACGCGTCAAGTACACCGCGTGAAGTAGAAACCGCTTCGCTTGATGATCGCGTCTCGTTAATACGATCAATATATGTGCGCATCCGCGAGGATCATGCGCTTCGAAATGCAACGCCGCGTGCAAATAGCAGCGCGCTGCTTCTTTCTGCTTTTCCCTTTCTCCTTTCTTTTTTTTTATAATCCGATCAATATTTTACGGCTTATTCACGGGCGAGACAGCGCAGGGAGTTTTCTTTCGCGCGCATCGCATTCCGATTTCTTTTTGCTTCTTCCGCGCAGCGACGAAATATTGAAATTTTTTCCTTTGTCCATGAATACGTACGAACAAGATGACGTCGAAAACGTATATAACGGTGCGTCCAAAAATGTTAATATTTATATGGAAAAAAAGTTATTTTCATATAACGTTTCTTTTAAGTACCCTATATATGTACATGTATTTTTAGCCGTCCTGTAAAATAAAACAAGCGCTAGATTCGAAAATGCAGTTTAGCAAAAAAATATATGCAAATATATTTATATATTTATATGTTTATATATTTATATGACTGTTGTTTATCGAACTTCATAATTCCTGAAAATAAAAACACATACGTGCGCTTCAAGTTTAGATATTCCGATCTAAATTATATGTCGTGTTCGCATCCGAACAGATGGATTTGGTAATCTTTACTCTCGCGAAGACCGACGAGAGCAGTTGTGAAAGGAGATAAAATCACCGTTACATACGTGAAAGGAATTCGAACGCGAAATACCATCGCGAGTCGGAGGGGGAAAGGGTGGCGACAAGCGGTGATATTTCATCCCGGCAACACGGAGCACGCCGAGTCGATACTATTAAAAGTTATAAATCAGCCTTAGGCGGCTGTATTATCGATAGTTTATTTACTGCGCGTCAGAAAATAAGTTACAAGTTGTCGCTCCGCCGCTGCACGCACGCACGCCTGTTGACGCGTCATAATTTCAAACGCCCGCGCTTTCTGACGCTCTCTCTGACGTGCGGAGAATTGAAATTGCGATCGAGAGACTGTGCGTCGTGTTCTCACGGCTAATCACCCTTTTCCCGCGGCACAATCTCCACTACATCCGCTGTAATTCCGGCGAAATGAAAGCGACGCACCGTGCGCATTTCGGGACGGCGTGACGACGGTGAACTAAGGTTTCCATTCGTCTTAATCCCATTTGCAAGCTCCGTGTGCGTCGTTCGCGCGACCGACGGTGCCGAGCACGAAACCCCGTCCCATTCGCACTCACGGGTATTACTATTTCGGTTTTGTTTCGACCGCGCCACCGTCGCCGCTACCCCTACAACACGTGGCAGCGCGTTGCCACCCACTGTGCGCACTCATGAAATACGGTGGCAACACCCCGAGAGCACAGCAGCTCTCAGAAGTCGCTGTCGCGCGCACGTGCGAAGGAGAAACGAGGGAGCCTTATCGTCATTGTTAGAAATCCGAGAAAACCACCCTCTCCTCGGCGATTTCGTTAAACGAACGAGAGCCAACTGTGTCGCAACAAAATCTGAAGGGAAAAGAACTTGTCCCTAGAGACTCTTAAGCAAACAGAGACCGGCTATGAGATAACGCGTCTTGATTGAGCCGCCATGCTCTGTCAACTTTCGCGCTTATTCGAATCAAAATAAGATCTCACGAAAAGATTTCAACAAAACAAATAAAGGATAACATCTCAAGAAAATTAAGTAATATTCTCTTTTCATATAAAATATCAAAATAATATATACTAAAAAATTCCTTATATTTAATGCTTTTTTCTACCGGGAGCATTCCGTGTCCACAGAATCCGGCGTTCAGGATCTCTTGCAAATACCTTCGTGATATAACTTCTCGACAATAAATTATTGTAAAACAATGCTGCACATTGATTCATTTTTCCGATAAATTCCCGTAAAGTATACGTTACAATTGTACATTACAATAATACTTAACTATAACGCGAATAGTTGTGATCACAAATTACACAGCACAGTAACGTCTTTAGCGTGCGTGAGCGCACCAGAACAAGATAGATTGAAAAGTGAGATGGTGAATGTTTTAGTCTCTCGCGCGACTTTGGCACTCCCTTATGACCAGTCCTCGATTCAAAGGTCTCTACTTGGAGCTATCGATCAACAATGGACAATGATTGGCGCGAATCACGTTCGCTGATAATTGGCTTCGGCATGTTTGCGCGAAAAGGCGATGAGATGATCGTTTGATTCGCACGCCACCGCGGGGCGAATTATGGCGATTTCTCGCCCGTATCTATCGACGCTAGCGTATTACGGCAACTGTGGAGTTCCGTCGCAATTGACAGCCGTGGTGTTATTGACCGCTACTAATTCGACCGACCGTCAACTCGCCACTAAAACACATCGCGGCCCGCGGAAATGGCCACGGACGATGGGCGGCCAGGCGCGATGGAGGCCGCCGCGGGGCTCGCAAATTACTACGAACGAGTGGGTCATGTCTCTGCCATTCGACGCCGGGATACGATCCGTTTTGATCCACGGATGCCTTTCGGTACATCACGATAACGCAGATCGGCCGGATGAGCCGGCGACCGGCGACGCTGGAAAGTTTTGTCGCGGATCACGGCGAGATATCGATTCGCCGCAGGTCGACCGTGCGGTCAGCACTTTCGCCACGTCGCCGGGCGTCGACGGCCGCGCGCGTTATCTTTTTGTCGACGCCACCACCTCTTTTGGTATGCGAGCCATAATTCCGTACCGACGGGTATCCTTCGGGCATCGCATCGCGTCGCGTCGCGTCGCATCCCGACGCGTCGCCCTGTCAGCGCGTAAACGCGGTCGCTTTTTCGTAGCCGGAGCGACCCGACCATCCGGGCGACGCGACATCGCCGAAGCACAACGTGTGCCGCTGAGAGA